ACGTGGCAGACTTTTCCTCCTTATAAAATTCTCAGCCAAACGGTTTTATTGGTAAAGTAAAGGCTAACCTGAGTGTATTCCAATGACTGCCAGAGTGAGGCAGCGACCTCGGGTGACTTCCCAAAGGCTGCCAGGCAGTGCAGGAGCTCGGCCTTCAGGACGGGAGGAACGCTGCACTGCAGCAGACCCAACATCACTACAACCGGGGTCCACTGGGGATGCTCGCACAACGCCAGTCGAGCATTTTCACTCTAGACCAAAACAAAAAAAACATCATAAAAAAACACACCCCAATAAAATTTGGATAAGAGAGATCTCAGCAAACAGAATCTCGTTTTGTTACCCATGTGATGATGGTGGTGAGCAACTGCAAAAATGAAGTGAGTCCTTCCAGCTCCCTTTGGGTGATGCCCCTCGGTGACGGGTGGCGGTACTGTGATGCGTCTGGATTTGGGAAGTCTCGCCACAGGTTCTCGTGGTAGAGCATGAGGGAGTGAAAGAAACGTTCCCAAGACACCGGGCTGCCCGAAATCCCCTGGATGTTGTCACCTGCCAACATGAGCTTAGTTGGCATACATATACATACACCTACATGTGCGCTATAAGTTATGATCATTCTTATTCAATCGCAAATGACAAATTTACAACGTTTTTTCCTAAAAACATTAATTTGCTCTTACTGCGTGTGGCTCCGTTAGTTTTAAGCAGACTGAAGGCGTAGTGGGCACACTGAGGGCCATTGGAAAGCCCCTTCAGCATACGTAGGTAGGAGACATAGAGCGTGGAGGGCAGGAGATCTCCCATCTGACGCACAAACTTGGACAGAACCACCTACAATAACACACAAGAAAAGAGAAACCTTTAACAAAAAGCCAATGTACCAATCATGCATTGCAGAAGTCTCTGAACATTTCCCCACCTTTTTACCTGCTACAATTCTTAGTGTGAGGAGAAATTGATTTGAAACAAGGTTCCAGAAAACACAGCTCCTACCTGTTTATGTGGAGGCCTTTGCGGCGCCATTCCCAAGTAAGATCCATGCAGGGAGGTGTGTTGTAGAGACTCTGTGTGACACCAGAACTCCAGACCCAACTCCAGCCCGAATGAGTCCTTACTGTAAAACTCTCCTATCTGGAAAAGAAAAAGCAGGAACCAACACCGTTAAAAATGCCATTTTTCTTACACAAAATTCCCCTTGTTCTGACTGCTCAGTAACATTTAGAAGAGCATTATCGGTTAGACGCATCATAGATGAGGTCTGTGTGTGTGAGAAAAAACACTCACGAGGACCATGAGGTGGTCTAAGTCCTTGCGTAACGATGACGGAAGCTCACTGTCCATCTGTAAGGACATGTGCACCAGCCGGGCATCCTCATCCGCACGGTTACGAAGCTGTTTTACCTACAAGTTCATCAAAAATATGTCCGTTCAACAATTGAATGAATATGAATGAAAAACTACAACCTGATAACACACAGTAGACATCTGCAGCATCCCTCACCTTCATTGGCATGAGTGCCAGGAAGTCTGTGATGAGTGAATGGAGGCGGCGGATGTAAAACTCTTCCTGGGCCAAACTCTCACACCCTAGAATGCCCTCCTTCATAAACAGGAAGACATCTCCCAGTAGAGCCTGGTCAGCCACAGCCTCGTCTGCCTCTGTGAACTCAACCAGGGCTGCATCAAAGATTTTTTTTTAATTACTCCTTTAAAAATGGCCACTATCTTTGAGACCTCATTCAAAAAGATCCATTCATTCTACAGCTGAAAGACATATTTAATGAAAGTCCAAGAAAAAAGGACCTTACCGCATCCCTGTGGAAGCTGAGAAAGAACCCTGAGAGACAGAGCCCAGGCCAGACGACACACAGCCTGCAGACCCGGAAGCTTCCACGGCTGGCCATCCATCAGACGGCTGTGTACGGCCGCCACGTATTGCCTGTCGGTCAGCAGCGGCAGTGTCTGGATCAGATCTAGGAGGACCAAAAAGAGAGAATCTTTCACAAGCTGCAGAAGAAAACAGCAATCGTATTCATAGCAACAAGTACGATGTTAAATTATACACATAATATGTACTTAACATGCTCCTACCTTCTCTGTCTTCGGTTCCCTGTTCTACAAAACGGACATCCAAGCAGTAGAGAAGCCCCATGACCAGAGCCAGGCTCACACTGTCCAAGGAGCCGTCAGCTTGAGCGGTCACTGTCTCCAGGTGGCCGATGAGAGCCAAGGTGTCATCTTTCGACAAAGGCGATTGGCAGGTCCATGAAAACAGGCTGTCTGCCAGGGCCTGCCGGGATTCTTTAATGAGATCAGAGACCTTGGGAAAAGAGAATGAGTCAATTCTGGTCCACGTACCATTTCCTTCTTCAGTGACAACAAAACCTCCTGGCTTTACACTATTCAGGTAAGGGAGAACCTATTTCAGGCATAATGATATTTCAAATCAACACAAAAAGGTTTGCCCCCACCTCTTTCCTGTGCTTCTCATTGCCCAAACCGCGCTCCTTCTGCAGTCGTTCAAACTCATGCGTCACATTTATCTCGGACACCAAGGTTAGGATGCGTTTGGTGAGACCCTGGATCATGAGTTCATCTGTGAAACGCGTCGTCAACGCCACCAGCTCTCCACTGAGAAAAAACGAAAGCACAGGTCAATAAAAAGCAACGTGGGTGTTGACAGGGAAAAAAACATGACAATAACGGGGTAATTTGCTGGAGCCTCAAATACACGCTTCTTTGCACATCAGTGCTGGTTGTAGAAAGGATTCTTACCTCAGGTCCAGGGTGAAAGTCTTGCCATGCCGTGATTGTATGAGTGTGCGCAAGGCGTTGGCCACGCAAAGTTTTCCATCCCAGTAGAGCAGCACCGCGACCAGACCTCGTGTTAGACCTGGGAAATGGGGCTGCTGTTGCTCACCTGGACACAATGAATATATTTAGAGAATCAATAGTGTGAAACTTCAATGTCTACTACTGAAAGTAATGCAAGGGATTGTCTCCAAATCATGAATTTGATCAAGACAAAATAGACCTTTTAAAACAATTAGGATTGATGTATTTGAAATTCTACATAAAACAAGCGCACCAAATTTACCCGATAACTTCCTTTACAACCTTTTTTCAAAGTCGTGCATTTTTCTTATGTCCACTCTACCTGCCAAAAGAAGCTCCAAAGCCGCCAACTCTCCAATATCAAACAAATCGCTGAGGATGAAGGCTTCTGAGAGTAACTGCTCCGGAAGAAGCCGTGACCCCTGCTGACCTTGGATGGCGATGCCCTCCGTGCTCGCTTTACGCACCTTCTCTCTCTGCTCAGCACTCTTTGGCTGAAAATGAACAGAAGACCAGATCCTATTAATATAAGAAGCCTCAAGACACACTGTAATTCAACATCAATCTGTCTGCACCAAGAAAGTCGTTACAAATTATTTGCGCCTGGACGGTATCTCACCGGGTTTTTATAGAGGGAGAGAAAATTTGGTTTGTGTTTCTTCAGCTGCAAGTCGAGGAGGTGGACACTCTCAGGCAGTCTCCTCAACACCGCCCCGTCCACGGTCTCCCACAACTCCTTCAGCGGCCCCCACAGACTGGCTCCTGGCCGGATGAATGAGATTTTGTCAGTAAACGTGCAAACAGACTCTCTATTGTGTCGGTTTCCTAGAACAATATTGCCATTGGTTGGTTTTACTCAGCAAACGTCAAATTCTGTTGAATTAATGTCGAAGAAACAAAGGTGTGGATGACTAAACGTATGCTTGATGGTGTAGATTAAGCCGGTTATAGTTTAAATGTATTGATTTGGGATTTCTAAAATACACTGACTCTCTGCAAGTGAAGCTACATTGAGTCTGGACGTTAGTTTAAATGTTGCACACAAGCTTTTCTGGGGGTTTGGGCGTGAACAACTTTGGAAATCACGGTGAGCATGCCAGGAAGTGATGGCAAATATATCTTTGCTGGTTCCGAGTTGAGATAGTTTCAGTTTAGCTTCCAATGCACGTTGAGTAAACTCGTCGGCTGACCCATTTGACAGAGAACAGAGAAGTCATACTGAGCTCATTTATGACGTGGAAACACGATAACGCGAACGTTAACCGCGTGGCAGAGTAAATATTAGTCAGGTTAAACACGTTCACCCACTGAATAACAGTTAGTCCGACATTAGCTGAACTCATTTTACTATGCTAATTTAGCTTAGCAGTCTGCTATTGAGAGATCCATCCCCATGTGGTCAAAATGTCACATGCAACTAAACTGGCACTGAAAAGGGAATGTGCCGGTATTTACTTGTGAAACAACCATCGATAACCACAGCTAGGAATTAACACAAGTATGCTACTTAATGAAAGAAATGTAGTTCATACCCGAATTTACCGCCATCTGTGCCGCCATGATACACTCGGAAAATCGCACAGGAGCAGGTTCTGGATTTGTGCCGGTGTGAAATTTGGAATAATTAATTGTATAGACAATTCCCCATTTGTATATATATATACCTTAATATTAGGTAACTATTTCGGTACAATATTTAAAACATTGCCTTATTTATGTATAATCCCTTCAGGCGAGGTCCTCAGACCGTAGGAACCATATCTACGGTAGGAACCGACAAGCAGTTAGCCGGATGGGACTTTTAGTTTACCGACGCAGACTAACTCTATTATAAACTTGAAATTGTGTTGAATAAATTTTATTCTGTCCCAGATGGTATTTTTCATGACATTTGGATTAACGTCTACTCGTATTTACATAAAAATTCGTAAATTAAACATAACATGTATCAATAATGGTTCCGCCTTGTTTTGGACCGTAATGTTTTGACGTAATACCAACGTCTCCATGCTCCACCTGACGGTTCCGTATCCGTGACCGCTGAGATGACAATTTGTCATTCAGGAATGTAACATTTCCATGCTGTTGTAAAAGTACCACCGCAGTCTAAATCAAGGGGTTGGGCTTAGCGTTTGATTTTAATCAAAAAGCGTTTGATTTTAATCAAAAAGCGTTTGATTTTAATCAAACGCTATGCCAAACTCGTGTTGTGAAAATGTTTCGGACTCTACGGAATAACTGGAAGAAGTCCACATTTGCTGTGTGCGTCCTGTCTTACGGGGGCCACTGGCTGTATGGTGTACACGGGTGAGTATTCCAGTTTATCAGATTCCCTCAGATTAGAATGAATGTAATCTCCGTGTTACCGTTCACGTGGCTCACATGTTGCGTCGTGTATCTTATCAGCGACAGTGTTCTGCGGAGAGAAGCGTGTCTCATTGCAAAGGTAAGACGTCACTTATTCTTGCTCCTTGTGTTGTCAGCGTTCAATGCCAAACCATTTTCACGGGCCTGTAGTCATAACGATAATAATCATCATCACGATCGTTATCTTCATGATGTTTGTTAGGAATTCGGGCGTCAACAAATAGGACCTCAGGAGCGTCTGAGGAAAGCCACAGTGATCTTGCCCAGTGAGCATTTTTGGGTTGAAAAGGCGTTTAAAAGACGTCTATGCCCGACGTTGAAAAGACGTTGCAAAATGGTTTAAAAGTGAAAGTTGTTTCAACGTCTATTCGTAGACGTTGAAAAGACGTCTATGTTTAGACCACATTTCAACGTGATTTTTTAATACGGTAATATTTCGTCTTCTCTTGTATGCTATATCATTATTTTAGAGGTTTAAAAAGAAACTACGTCCACATTTGTAAGTTTACCACCGATATTATAAATCACGTTGAAAACGGGTCTATACGCGAACGTCTTTTCAACGTCTACGAATAGACGTTGAAACAACTTTCACTTTTAGACCATTTTGCAACGTGTTTTCAACGTCGGGCCATAGACGTCTTTTCAACGTCTTTTCAACGTTGAAATGCTCGCTGGTTGAAATGTGGTCTAAACGTAAACGTCTTTTCAACGTCTATGAATAGACGTTGAAACAACTTTCACTTTTGAACCAATTTGCAACCTCTTTTCAACGTCGGGCCATAGACGTCTTTTAAACGTTGTTTCAACGGATAAATTGCTCGCTGGAAACGTACAAGTTACATACTTAGTCACAGTTGTCATGTTAACATCCCTTAACAAGGACAAAGACATTATTTTATTGATTTGTATTTATTATAAATATAACACTATACATATAACAGCACTTTTGCTAATTAAAAACAATACAGAAATAAAATATATTTTTCAGGAAAATAAATTATGGAATTAAAAGTGCAGAAACAACATTTCTGTGTTTGTAGACCATTTTTCTGAATCATTGGAACTTCATTATAGATTCTGTAACAAGATGTGCCTCACTTGAGTTGGGATAGTATACCTGAAATCAGCTGCATCTCCCTCATCCTCACTTGAGGATTCTTTGTGTAAAGGGAGTCAGAGTGCACGGAGCAGATTCCTCTGGTCAACGTGTTTATTCAATTCAAATCATTTTATTTTGTTCAGCTTTGCAATCTGTAAACATGCAACACCCTGTCCCCTAAACCCCAAAATGTAAAAAACCTTCAACCTGGAGAAACCTGAGGGGAAAACAGTAGGGAAGAAGGTGTGAACAACTTAAAAGATGTACAGTACATCCGATTCCTACAACATAAATGATTCTAATATTGTGGATTATTAAGCCAGGGGTAAGGCAGGACCAGTGCAGGGACAACCATCATCAGACGTAACCTCCATCAGATGCAACCACCACCCGCAGAAACCTGTGAGGAGGGAAAGCACAAAGGCAAAGTTGGTCATTTGGGTTTATGATGACAGTAATAAACTAATAATAATAACAGCAGTAGGTGCGTTAGAACACTCATTTATAGATGGTTTACTTATTACATTATAAACAAGATAACAATTCATCTGCAACTTATGGTATTTCTGGAGTAACATGTCCAGGTATATTACACAGTATCATGCTTTAAGCAGCAGTAACTTACAATGTTTCGGCCTCTTGTTTACAGAGCACAACTTGTTGAATTCAGCCCTTCACCCTTGCAATGCAACTTAGCCACCATTGCTTTAAAAACGTATTTTTTTCAATGTGAAATGCAATAATATTTATGGGTACAGCAACAATCTAACGCATTAGCAACACCAAACACGCACAAAAATGTCTGGAATGTTTACTTTTGGTCCAGGTCATCATGCTGCACGCTAGCATGCTAACTAGCAAACTACCTGCGCTAACGCTAACTAGCTTAACAAAAAGGACCGTCTTTCCTGTATCGAGTCGGCAGCACAAGTAAAACACCCGGTTATAGTTCCAGGTGTGCTTCATTCAAACACTCGCGTACTTACAGAGCAGTGGAGCCGGTAGTCGTGGTTCTATCAGCCCGTTCATGTCGCTCTGCTTCGTAACTTCGTCCGCTCGGAGCTCTGCAGGCGTCTAAGAACTCGCGCATGCGCGTTACAGATGTGAGCGGAGTTACGTGTTTACAAGTAATGTTTGAACCTGCCCGCATTATTATGTCTTAAACGCATCTTATTGACAGCACGCAGTCCGTAGTTTCATATTTATGACGTTTTAAGCGAAATAGTAAATACGTTGAAATTACGTCTTCGCGTAGACCAAATTTCGCCGACCAGTTCATTAATTATTCTGAAAATCTTAACGTTAATATCGTCTCTCTTTCAACCTTACGTTACAACATGACACATTTATCAACAAATTAACGTTTTCTGGCACGTTGATGTTTCATCCCATTTTTAGACGGTTGAAAAGACGTTGAAATGAGGTCTTAGACGTTCAGACCTCATTTCAACCCGATTTCAACCATATTTCAACGTTGAAATTACGTCTTGTGCTCACTGGGTGAACCCTTCAGCTTGCAGTGGGTAAGAAGACACATCTCTTTACTCTTAATATCACTCACTAACAGATTTGTCAGGATTTCTTAGAAACAACCTCTCTCTGAATATTTCCCACACGCTCTCTCAATCTTCCCCAGGAAAGCCAACAAACTGTTTGAAAAGAACGCTGTTCCCCTTCTACACCTGGCCGGTGTGGAGATTACAATAGTGAAGGTATTTCACTTTGAACCCATCAGCGCTTTTAGTTGCTCCAGCAGCGGCGCCAACATTTGACGCCGTGATCATGTGTTACATGTTTTTCCCTCTACAGACGGATTATGAGGGCCAGGCAAATAAACTGATGGAGCTCATGGAACATACAGACATTCTCGTCGTGGCCAGAGGGGACGGCACCTTGCAAGAAGTCGTCACAGGTTTGCTGCGAAGACCAGATCAAGTAGCTGTCGCTCTGCAAGATGCCTTAATTCCTACTTTCTTTTGATGTCACTGATGGATGTTTAATGACTACAGGACACAGTCTGTAACACTCCAATTGGATTCATTCGACTGGTCTCTCGTAATTCCCTAATTCCAAGTCTTCACCTCCTCAGTGACAACAAGGTCAAGTAAGTACCCTTCAATATCATGAGAAAGTACCACATTTTACTATCACATGATCTTCTAACCCGTGGTAATCTGTGTACTGGAAAGATATGTGGATATGGACATGGTGGCGTATGCATGGTACCACGCATGTAACTTAAATCCATTTTTTGCTCCTTCCAGAGACATTACATCAGCAACACTGTCCATTCTAAAGGGGGAAACCGTACCTCTGGATGTGCTGCAAATCAAAGTGAGAAACTGCCTCAAAGTTATCAACATAGTGTGTGTCTTGAATTCATATAATTACTTGCATCCGTTTCTGTTTTCCGGTTAACCTAACAAATGTCTTGAAAATTCTATGATTTCATCCTTTATTTTAAAATACGGGTAGATGAAATCCAGCGTTCCGATTGGTTGAGAGTGAGTCACGTACGCAACCGGACAATTCAGGTGGTCGTCATGAGTGATGTGAATGAATGAGATGGTGCGAGATCTTGCGAGGAGACCCAATGCTGTTTACATGCACCTACGGGGACTATTTTTCTCTAGACTACTGAAATGCGATACACAACGTTTGGTGGCTAACACTCTTTCGTGCAGAATTCAAATGTGAGTGTGTGTGTTCTGTAGGGTAGCGGTTCCCAAACTTTTTTTCCTGCGCACCCCCTTCCATGTCCCAACCGGGTTGGCGCACCCCCAATTCACACTTTAAAAAAAACGCAACAAAACTTTGTTTTATCGTCATATAGACTCATGTTTAAACATGCGCAAATAACCACAACACGCATGACAATAACAACAATGAATTACAAACGATTCACAACATTAAAAAGAATAGGCTCTGAAATAGATAAAATAAATAAAAACGGAAACTTTTCAAGTGCGACAATAAAATTAGCCTACACACGATCCACAACATAATTAAGTAACAAAGAGCGGTCAAACATAAAATAAATTAAAAGACGATAAAAGAGGATCCATCCAGAACTTTTCAAGTCTAGCGCAAAAGTCGCTCAGCCTGCAGAAAGAGAGAGAAAGAGAGAGAGTGGATGTGTTAGTATTCCCAACAGGCCTATATGTGTAGCAATAATATCAAATACTTACCCATATTAATGCGACGGGTGGGCTTGCATCTTGGCACAAAGCTCTTCAAAGTTTGGCGCAATGGAAGACAGTTTAAGCCTCAATTCCTTCTCAACAGCATCCAGTCTTTGCCGATGTTTAGTTTTAACTGCTGCCATAGCAGAGAAACCAGCCTCGCAGAGATAAGTTGTGGCGAAGGGCATCAAAACTCTCAAGGCTTGCTTTGCCAAGACTGCGTATGATGTCAGTGACTCGGTCCAAAAATCCACAAGTGGCTTTCGTTTGAACTGTGACTGCAGTGCTCCATCAGATGACAGCTCGATCAGCTGCTCCTGCTCGTGTAATGACAGCTGTGGGACGGGCAGGGAAACTTCAAATGGATTGCGAATCCAAGCGCCAGATGTGTCCATAGGTGGAAAGTGTTTCCGTAGCTGCTCGGCGAGTTGGTTGAGGTGTTCAATTATGAGAGTTTTTACATGCTCACCCAGGTGCACGTCATTTTCCCCCAAGAACTCGTGAAGCGTAGGGAAACACAGGTGTGTGTTCCCACTCACACAACTTGCCCAGAACCGTAGCTTCTTTATCATGGCCTCAACCCTGTCTTGTGTGTTGAACACAGTTACACTGACTCCCTGCAGACTTAGATTGAGTTCATTCAGAGCTGAGAAGATGTCCGCTAGATAGGCGAGCCAAAATCTTCGTCATGCATACTGGAGGCCAAATGAAACGGATTCTCCTCAAAAAACTGCTGCAATTCGTGCCGGAGTTCAAAGAGCCTTGTCAGCACTTTGCCGCGGGACAGCCAACACACCTCTGTGTGCAGCAGCAGTGATTTGTGTTCGCTGCCCATCTCGTTACATAACAGTGTGAATATTAGTGAATTTAGCGGACGAGCTTTAATGAAGTTCACCAGTTTGACTGCGTCGTTCAGCGCTGCAAGTAGATCAGCATGTTTTTGGCTGCGAGGGCCTCTCTGTGAATACTGCAGCTGACGGATGGGCAGACTCTCCTAATATGAGCTATGAGCCCCGTGTGTTTCCCCGTCATTGATTTTGCCCCGTCTGTGCAAATTCCCACACAGCGCTCCCAGTCGATGCCATTGGTCCTCATAAAAACGTCAATTAAATTGAAGATTTCCTGTCCTGTTATTCGGGTAGCAAGGGGCCGACAGAACAAAAACTCTTCTTGTACCGATCCTTCAAAAAGGTAACGCACATAGAGAAGAAGATTGGCCAGATTTGCAACATCTGTAGACTCGTCTACTTGCAGAGAGTAAAACTCACTTTTCTTCACACGGCTGAGTAGTACAGCCAGGATGTCTTCAGACATGGCATCAATGCGGCGCGACACAGTGTTATTGGACACAGGAATCATGTCCAACTTTTTTGTCTCTTTCTCTCCAATCATACACGCCACCATTTCTTTGGCCGCTGGCAAACACACGTCTTCGGCCATTGTGTGCGGCAGCCCCTTTCTCCCTACTCTGTAACTGAGCAGATATCAGGAATCAGGAAACATTTATTTACCAAAATATGCCAAACATACAAGGAATTTGTCTTGGCGGTTGAATATGAAGCCTGTAGTGCGTCTTTCGTAGACCCAACGCATGAATGAAACTGCATTTTCTTTTGGCTTTTCTGCAACTCCTCCAATTTCGCTTTAAAAAATGTAAGGGGCTTGTCACTTAAATGGCCATGTTTCGTGTGCATGTGACGACGGAAATAAGATGGCTTCAGACAGCTGTTTGCTAGAACCTCACTGCACAACACGCACTGCGGCTTCGGACAATCTGTATCGCCAATCCAAGTGAAGCCCAGACCCAGATAATTGTCATCATATTTTCTTCTTTTTTTCCCCGTCTGGTGTTCGCCCTCATCACTTCTTTTTTGGCATCTCCTACCCTGCCCTTCGGTTTCCTCCTGTGCATCTTCTGACTCCCGCTCATTTTCTGTCTCTATCCTCTCTGTCTCTGTTGCCTCCAAATCCTCTCTCTCTCTTGGTCCCTCTCCTCCTTCGTGACTAATAACTTTATTATAAGATGTCCCACTTGACAGTTTCCCTGATTTCAGCCAGTTAAGCATATTTACACGATCAATGAAACGAGCTGGCGCGCATATTGCCGAGCGGCTGCAGTGCATGAAAGAAGAGCATGCGTAGAACGTTTCTATCAAAAAATAATATATTATAGTTTTCATATTTAAAATAAAAGTGATTACAAAGGTCATGCTTTTTTATTGTATGGAAGAATCATTTTATATATGTCAATGAAAAAATCCCACTTAAAAAAACTGACCGCCATTATATTTTTCATCTCGCGCACCCCCTGGTCGCAGCTCGCGCACCCCTGGGAATCCCTGCTGTAGGGGGAGAAAGAGCAGCCGGTCTTTGCTCTGACGGGACTTCGTATGGGGGCTTTTAGAGATGTGGCTTCAACAATCAGCAAGTAAGAATACACAATCGGTCACTCTGATTATAACCCGATTATCACACAATTCCACACACAAAAGAATGGCTATTTCATATTTCATCATAGGTATTGTTACCTTGGACCACTGAAGACCAGTGCAGCACATTGGTTTAGTACACTACGGGTAAGGCAATTTATTTTCTTGATTCACTTGATTTCATTTTGTGTCTTCCCCTGTTGCTTTGTCACCACGACCCCTAATTATATGGCTGCAGATTTATTTTAATTCCATCACATGTCATTTGATCTCGCGCTGTTGAAAAATCTCTCAGGAGTGGCCCTTGGTCCGCGAGGTCTCCGTGTCCTACCTGGCTCCCAGCCTGCGGCCCCCTGACCTGCCCACTCAGAAGCCCCCCCGGCCCAACCTGCTGCACCGCATCATCCGCAGGCTCCAAAACCGCTGGAACCCTCCGGGCGAAGGTACTGTTGGCTCTTTTTTTGTACCTCTATCGCAGCACAACACCGCGATACCAAATCCCAGCAGTCGGAGACAGCGACTTGTATTTTTCGGTGATTTGTGTGTCCTCAGAGCGTCCAAAAGTGGAAGAGCCGGAGCAGTGGAAGGAGAAGCATCTTTCGACTTTAGAGCTGTTTATTCACACGCACAACAAAAACCCAGTGAAGAGGGTCAGTCCAAAATAATTACATTTTTTTTAAACCTTGTATCGGTTGATAATAATGACAGTATCGCACTAAAGTGCCTGGTTTTCCTCTTCGATTGTTAAACACAACTTGTTTCTATTCATTGAAACTTGCAGCGCATAAATGACTCCCTGGTGATCTGTGCAGAACCGGACAACTTCACAGTGGGCGAGTACATCACAGTCGGGTTTGTAGCTTCACTTCTTTCTCAGTCTGCTGCAAACGGAGGCAAAACACCTTTTGTAAAAAATGAAAAAAGTTCATTGCAGAAGTCAAAAAGAGGAGGACCCGACTGTATTCACCAAAGACTCCACAAGACTGGAAGCCAGTGCTTGCCAGCTTCAGCTGCCAGAGGTCAGAAACCAACTATAACTATCACAACTATTTAAGGATTGTGCTCATTGTATCAATTTCCCCTGCCGAAGCTTTTTCTATGACCTTTAACTCGACGTCGCGACCCCGCAGGGTTCCGCCGGCTTCCACAACATCGACAACGAGGAGTATGAGGCCATGCCTGTAGAGGTACGGCTGTTGCCACGGAAACTACGTTTCTTCATCAGCGCGGAGCGCCGAGAGCAGCTCCTCTCGCTGACGCAGTGATGAAAAGACACTGGACCAGGAAGAGGACAAGAACAGCGAGACGAGAGAAACAAAAGAGGTGAAGAAGCCGACGCCACGCGTCTCTGAAGTCGGGCGGATGTCAGCTGCGCCGGCAGTTGAAACCTTTGCACTTGGTCAATTAAAATAGTTTCTGTCCAATTCAACACAAAGTTGTTGGTGTTTCTTCCTACCGGTCTTCAGTACGTCAGCATTTAGCAAATGCCTGGTTTCAAATGCAGCCGTTGGTCAGAGGGTTCGAGGGGGGGCAGCTGGTGGTGAGGGACTGAGAAGGAAAGAACAGAAATACTTTGAGCTCGTTGCGAGGAGGTACTGGTACTATGAATGTTATTGATTAGGTTTGAGGTACAGATGCATGGATGATTGCAGAAGAATGTAGAGATGCTGCAGTCCCTGATGTCCCCAATGTGCTGCTTGTATCAAGGTGGCAGACTGCGCGGTGAGGCCGGGTGCGATCTGACCGATGACGTAGACTGGATTAAGCGAGTGGCTGCATCACAGATCCAGATTGATTTGTTTGTTCTGGAAAACCCAAAAGAGGCTCTTGGTTTTGTTTGCTGTGTCTCGTGGGTGAAAATCCTATTAGGGGATGGCCATGACTTCATACTATAAGTTTCATCTGTAGTCCTGCATATCCCATAATGCGCCAGCTTCATTCAGATCCTATTTACTTCCCTTAACGATGACCTTCTTCGATCGTTTGTAACGAAGGCTTTCTGTCAAAAAGTCTCAGCCAGGTTGAAAAAAAAAAAGACCCTAATAATGTCAGCGTCATGTGACTCCAAAAGGCTCCCTCCAAAGGAAAAGGAGGCATTGATCTGTTTTCAAAGGCCGGAGCAGAAGTTTATATTTATGTATTGAGGGAACACACTTTTAAAGAACCAGTAAACAATTACAACGTGAAATTCTGCTTATACATCAAGGCCCCAATTCTAAAGATCTCATTAAAGTACATATTAACTGAGGAATTCCACTTTTAATAATGCAAATACGTTTTGATTTCATACCAGCATGCACACAAAAATCAAGTATTTGTAACATTTAACAAGGATTAACTGCACGATGATCCGATCAACCTAAAAGTTGCTTTGTGTTTTTCGAAAGAAAGACATTTCTGAGATCCTGCTCATCGGGCGAAAGGGGAGATGTAGGTGGAGCAATGTTACAAATAACATCGTTATGCAAGAAGCAGATAATCAGATAACACTTAAACTGTATCAATGCTTTATTGTGTTACAATGGCAGTACAGTAAAATGATGGTCATGCTATTGAGGTCATGTTTACATTATTGACATCTCTTATGTGTTTCACATTAGTAAAGACTTTTGTTATTCTTTGAGAACGGTACTTGATTTACATCACAATCAAAAGGAGGAAAGGGTTACACAACTTGGATGTGTTGTTCTTTGACAGTCGATGTACAAACGACTCACTTTGCCAATGCTGGTAACACATCTGTGAACGACTCCACAAAAGAAGGCCTTGTACACAGTGGTGTGTGTGTGTGTGTTGCGTACATTCCTACGTACACCTGGAAGCAAACGCTGTCAGAGGCAAGATGATGATGTCTGCTGCAAGTAAACCGCGGAGTCAGAGTCAACAGGTCTAACTGGACACGGTGTGAACGCACGCAATAAGTCAGTCACTCGGTTGGGAGATAGAGAGAATCACTTAAGGCCCCATTTAAACAACAAAGCTCTTTCAAATACAATACTTTTCACGTGCACGTTTTCACTTTTCTAACCAACCCAGAAAACGTCTTTGGGGTTCAAGTCAGAGGACAGCAGTTGAAAGATCACTTTTGGAATTTGCTACCAAATAAAAAAATGGGAAGGCTATTTGTAGTTGCTGTACAAATACGAATAGATGTCCTAGATGTCCTGGGGGGGCACGAGAAGGCTGAGAAGCAGTACTCCAAACTTATAGGAGACATCAGGCTTGTTGTTATGTGTTCCAACGTGGAACGAATTATTACTCCGATGAGAAACGCGACGGATTAAATGAACCATTCTGCCAGGATAATTCCAAAAGACACAGTTGGCCCATTGGGAGTCGGATTCACTCAGTGGGACTGCGATGAAAAAGACATTAAAAAAAAAAAGGAAAAAAAACTCGACAACAGATGGGGGGGTTCTTAAAGCTTCTGCCCGTCCTTCACTGTGAACAACACCGGATCCCCTAAAACAAAGAGATCTTTGTGAGGGACACAGAAAGGCAAAGAGGATCCATCAAGAACGGCAGCATCATCACAACATATATTGGCTGCCGTTGATGAACTGGCCCACAGTTGGAGTAAAATAAACAAAAGAACGTGCACAGTGCAACACGCAAAGCCCCCTCGCTCCGTAACCACCTATTGGCTCAGACGGTTAGTCCAAAACATACAAACGTGCACCGTAATAACCTTGTGCATCTTGAAACATTCCAGTGGTGGATGTGGTGCAGCATTCGTGATAAGTTAGTGGTGTAGTGTCATTCATTGACGACGACACAGGTTTCAAGAGCGCGTCCATCAGTCACACATTTGACTGCGATCAAACACAGAGACACATCATCAGATGTACCTGGTGTCAAAGCTGCAGCTCCCCATTGAAAAAGAGGATATTGAACATCCTCTCACTCACTTTCAGTTGTGAAAGAAAGAATAAAAACTAAGAAAAAACAATGAAACACGAAGAGGGCTGGTTTCAGGCAACACACTCCTCTATTGCTTCCTTTTTGAAAGGTAAATAAAGCAGTCAAAAAGCATTTGATTTGATGAAGTATGTTATCACAGCAGGATGAATTTGTTGCACATTACGATGCCTAGAGTCTTCTAAAGAAAAATCTATTCATAGCACACAAATTCATATTCAGTAGCACAAATGCGGCCACGTAACAGGAATTGTTACCTTCAAAAGAAACGTACGTTAGACCCAAAAGGCGGCGGGATCGTGGCCCTTTCAGCGACCTCTTCGTTGTGCTGCGTGACGTGACCGCCCCGCAGCAACGTCCCGACCAGATCGACGCCAGCATCAAAGTCAAACATGAGCGCACAAGCGAACCAGTATCTCCAAAAAAGATGTGAAAGACTGTGGGACCATGCGGCCGACGGGTGGAATGGCCCACGAGGCGAGCGTTTGTCAGCCGCCCCCCTGCCGAGGAGCGGTGCAGCAACGTTCACTGTCCCCGTCACCCGCGGTGTTTGGAAACAGTCTCCAAAAAGTCAGACGAGACGCACAAAGAGGGAAAACAGACAGCCAGGAGGGGACAGCAGGCGACAGATGGAGAAGTCCCAGGGTGGAGGAAGTGCCTACGTCGTCTTGTTGCGAGTGGGCCGTAAAAGGCACGAGTGTCCCGTGGCGTTCAGAGTTTCCCAGGCTGGTGGGTGAGGAGGGAGAGGGAGGGGAGAGGGGAGGGCGGGGCGGGGGGGGGGGGGGGGGGTTCAGGAGCAGCAGAGGTTGTCTATGACCAGCGCGACGTCAATCTGGTACACATCCAGCAGCTCCAGCAGGAAGAATCGATCGCCCTGGGGGTCCAGCCCCATGGCCCTCACATGCTCGGAGGTGAGGGTGGGGTCGCTGCTCCCTGCTACGTCCGACAGGATCTGAACGATGCGGTTGTTAAGCTCCATGTAGAACCTGGGACAGGATTAAAAGACATTAAAAGTCATTTCACGGAACTTCCGCATCACATTAAAAAGGGAAAAACAGTTATAATTGGACGGTTCTCCTGACACACGCTGCCTGCGATCAGCAGCTGTGAAGACACTTCACAGGACTCACAGGATGAAAAGATCCTCTTCATTTGTCGTGCAGTCTCCATCCACCTCCTGAGTGTAAAGCAACATCTGCCTGGAGACCAAAGGAAAAAAAAGGTACATTTATGATGTATGATATTTGAAAAACACATTCTGCCCCTCATGGCTGCCATCTACGAGTCCATGTTAATGAAGCAGCGTTACGGTGGTCAGTTATTTGAAACCCATCTCAGGTGTACAGTATCTGACGTGGTGTACCTCTGCTCGCTCAGCTTCCTGTACTTCTCCTTATCCGCTGCATTCAGTCGAAGCAGCGGCTGCAAATGGCTCCTGTGCGTTTTCACATTCTGGTTATCAACGTAGACGTCGTACAGCTCCTTCTTCTCCTCAAAGATCTTCTCTGTAGTGCCTTAAGATATAATTTAAAAAACAAAACAAAACAATGAACATGCTCATGAATAAAATGAGTAATTTCCATGGATTACAAGTAGCCATTTTAGATGCAACGCTTCGCTCACAGGCCACGTAGGACAGCTCCGTTTCCAGGGCGGGGATGTCGGCTATGTTGATGTAGAAGAAAGGCCGTAATTCCGGCACGGAGACGCCAATTCCAGGTAAAGAGACATTGGCCAGGCAGCAGCAGCAATACACTGAGGAAGGCACGAGGACACGGGCAGTGAAGGCTCTCCATGGAAAAAGAAAATTACACCTAAAAATTCTAAAAACCCTGTTCACCCTGACCCGTTCGTTGAAAGAAAAACAATGCAAGTGCGTTTGTGTCCACGCGTGCGTTGGAGCTTCTCACCTCTGTAGCAGACTACGCCGATGGGGGGAGGGGAGAAGATGAGGACCCGTTTCCTCAGCAGTGCAAACTTCCACAGCACCATGATGTGCTCCCCGAAAAACTGGATGAACTGGGACATGCAGCCGGCCGGGTGGGTGATCTGCAGGGTGAGAGGACAAATGGGTTTCGTTGCGTTGATGCCGCTGCCGCTGCTGCTCGTGCTGTGCAAACCTTCCATCCCCAGCAATGTGCTCTGCCGCTTTCACACCTTCATCTCTGGGTGCATACAGCGGTTGATGGTGGTGACACTCCAGGTCGGGCAGGCGGTGACCAGACCCTTTCCTGTAGGGGGAAGCACGGCCTTCTTGTCCTCATAGAAGGCCTCCAGAGGAGAGTACTGGCCCGGGCACTTCAACTGGTGCCTAAATAGAAATGTCGGAAAGAAGGAGAAGATGGGGAGGAACGGAGATAAAAAAGGAGGAGAAGGTCACGGATGAGTCATGAGAGCCTTTTCTCATTTGTGCAACTGAGCCCATTGTGCTTGCTTGAGTGCTTATTCGTTATCTGTCGAATGTCCCTCAGCCATGAACACTCGCAGCTCGCGCTGAAGGTTTAAAGACGACTACTGAAAGGCATTTCTGCTTGTTATTCTTTTTAAGCAACGTAAATGGAGCTCTGTGAATGAATTGCGATTTCAGTGTCTGACACTATTTTGGATAATTCAAGATGACATATTGTGCTTGGCCAGTAAACCTTCATTGTTTTTTATATTGCATTGTGGGATCATTTGAGGCCACACGCATTTCCCCCCCATTTAGTTTAACCACCGCAGCCAACCAGTACTCATGCTTGACATTTATATCCAACACCGTTCGAGGTATCTGCTTACTGCTGTGGAGTAGCAAGCAGATACATAAGGCCACAGTTACCACACATAAAAACACAACCCCGATTACCACACACTTTTACTTGGAGGCAACCTGTTTTATTTGTATTTGGAATACAATATGCTGTCGTGCTGGTAAAAGTTTTTACTACAAGATGTAAGAAGGTTTCTGGATTTGTTTTCTTTTCTGTCCATCAAACAGGATCAAGTAGCCACAGCATGTAAAGCAAAATAATTTTAAAAAGCAAGTTGATCACACTTGCTTTGATAACGTTTTGAACACGTTATTATCAACATATTATACATGTTGATAATAACGTGTTTAACTGACAGCACGAATGAATAAATATGTATTTGGAATACGCATATACAGTAATCCCTCGTTTATCGCGGGGGTTACGTTCCGAAAATGACCCGCGATAAGTGAAATCCGCGAAATAGAAAACTTTTTTTTTTTTTACAATTAGCAACTATTACATGTATACAAATACAGTGACTCGCGTGTAGGCCGTTTCACTGCTCTTCAGACTGGGCCGCTGCATCCTGACTGCGCTCTGCAGTGTTCTCTTCTTCTGAAGCCCGCGGTGCAGGTGTGTTTGTTCGGGAGAAGAACATAGTGATAGGCAGCTCTTTTTTTGCTCTTTTTTCTTCTTTGCAAAAAGATCCTTGTACACCGACATGCCACCATCGATTACGTTGGAGAACTGTAATGAACGGCTCGGGAGTGAGTTTTTAGCGAATCAGAATGCAGAGCACAATGCACCAAAAAAAAAAAAATGCAATATGAAAATCCGCGAAATAGCGAATCCGCGATAAGTGAACCGCGAAGTGGCGAGGGATCACTGTATATATATATAGATAGATCTATAGATATAGCTCTAGATCGGTAGATAGATAAGCTTTTGAGAGAAGTGGGGAAGAGGAGCAGAGATGCTGAAGACTGTCCAGGCACCTTTGAGCATGGGACCATACAAAAAACAACTGAATGATATCTTGTGACGATTGCTGTAACCTGGACTCTGGATCCATGTTTAACAGATGAGTAAAATTTTAACAAACAAGCGAGAGCAGGGTGTTGGCTCACAAAGAACAAATCCTGTAAACTCGGCATGGAGAGAAATAAAAGGAGGTCAAAAAAAGAACACAAAAATGTGATAATGTCAGATAGAAATAACAAACAGATCCAGGGGTGAACCGCAGCATGTCTCACCTGACTTGGTTCTCCAGAAAGTGCATGTAGCGGTAGAGCAGCGTGTAGGAGGGAGACAGAATCCCCACGGACTTCATCCTGGCTCCTCGCTCCAGCTCACTGTCCACGGGCATGTTAGCAAAGCAGGCCAGACCAAAGTAACAGCCTTTGCGGAAATATCTGGCAGAAAGGCAAAAGCAAAGACCGGGAGTAAACACGGTGTGAAGGATGTCACAAGGACAGATTAAACACGTGTCGGTGAGTCACGATGGGCGGGGGGACTGGGAGTACATACATGAAGTCACTGGTGATCCGGTGGGAGCCGCTAGCGATTGACTTGAATTCAACTCCATCCAGGTTGACGTCGTGAGGCAGGAACCACTCGATCATATTCCCTGTCATCCACACACACACACACACACACACACACACACACACACACACACACACACACACAAAATAAAATGTCAAGTCACTTTCCCTTCTAGCTTCTTCTGATCCCGGAAACTTCCCCAATTCTGCATTTGAGTCATGTGGCAAGAGGTCAGCAACAGAAAGAAAGCTCTGACTCAGCTACTGTAACAGTCTTTGCACTCAAGGCCTCCATGTATAAAGCTGAAGCCCTGACTATTGGTCTGTGCTAATGGGATGGTGGTCTCTAAAGGCGGTCTCACTTGGGTTATTTCTGCACTGGGGGTCGATTGGAGCTATTTATTTGAGTCTTTACATTAGAGCAGGGGATTCCCAAAGTGTGGTGCCCCCCATGGGTGCGCGAGCTGCGACCAGGGGGTGCGCGAGAGGATGTCAAAAAAGAAGTGATGAGGGCGAACACCAGACGGGGAAAAAAAGAAGAAAATATGATGACAATTATCTGGGTCTGGGCTTCACTTGGATCGGCGATACAGATTGTCCGAAGCCTCAGTGCGTGTTGTGCAGTGAGGTTCTAGCAAACAGCTGTCTGAAGCCATCTTATCTCCGTCGTCACATGCACACGAAACATGGCCATTTAAGTGACAAGCCCCTTACATTTTTTAAAGCGAAATTGGAGTTGCAGAAAAGCCAAAAGAAAATGCAGTTTCATTCATGCGTTGGGTCTACAAAAGACGCACTACGGGCTTCATATTCAACCGCCAAGACAAATTCCTTGTATGTTTGGCATATTTTGGTAAATAAATGTTTCCTGATTCCTGATATCTGCTCAGTTACAGAGTAGGGAGAAAGGGGCTGCCGCACACAATGGCCGAAGACGTGTGTTTGTCAGCGGCCAAAGAAATGGTGGCGTGTATGATTGGAGAGAAAGAGACAAAAAAGTTGGACATGATTCCTGTGTCCAATAACACTGTGTCGCGCCGCATTGATGCCATGTCTGAAGACATCCTGGCTGTACTACTCAGCCGTGTGAAGAAAAGTGAGTTTTACTCTCTGCAAGTAGACGAGTCTACAGATGTTGCAAATCTGGCCAATCTTCTTCTCTATGTGCGTTACCTTTTTGAAGGATCGGTACAAGAAGAGTTTTTGTTCTGTCGGCCCCTTGCTACCCGAATAACAGGACAGGAAATCTTTAATTTAATTGACGTTTTTATGAGGACCAATGGCATCGACTGGGAGCGCTGTGTGGGAATTTGCACAGACGGGGCAAAATCAATGACGGGGAAACACACGGGGCTTATAGCTCATATTAGGAGAGTCTGCCCATCCGTCAGCTGCAGTATTCACAGAGAGGCCCTCGCAGCCAAAAACATGCTGATCTACTTGCAGCGCTGAACGACGCAGTCAAACTGGTGAACTTCATTAAAGCTCGTCCGCTAAATTCACTAATATTCACACTGTTATGTAACGAGATGGGCAGCGAACACAAATCACTGCTGCTGCACACAGAGGTGTGTTGGCTGTCCCGCGGCAAAGTGCTGACAAGGCTCTTTGAACTCCGGCACGAATTGCAGCAGTTTTTTCAGGAGAATCCGTTTCATTTGGCCTCCAGTATGCATGACGAAGATTTTCTGAAAAGGCTCGCCTATCTAGCGGACATCTTCTCAGCTCTGAATGAACTCAATCTAAGTCTGCAGGGAGTCAGTGTAACTGTGTTCAACACACAAGACAGGGTTGAGGCCATGATAAAGAAGCTACGGTTCTGGGCAAGTTGTGTGAGTGGGAACACACACCTGTGTTTCCCTACGCTTCACGAGTTCTTGGGGGAAAATGACGTGCACCTTGGTGAGCATGTAAAAACTCTCATAATTGAACACCTCAACCAACTCGCCGAGCAGCTACGGAAACACTTTCCACCTATGGACACATCTGGCGCTTGGATTCGCAATCCATTTGAAGTTTCCCTGCCCGTCCCACAGCTGTCATTACACGAGCAGGAGCAGCTGATCGAGCTGTCATCTGATGGAGCACTGCAGTCACAGTTCAAACGAAAGCCACTTGTGGATTTTTGGACCGAGTCACTGACATCATACGCAGTCTTGGCAAAGCAAGCCTTGAGAGTTTTGATGCCCTTCGCCACAACTTATCTCTGCGAGGCTGGTTTCTCTGGCAGCAGTTAAAACTAAACATCTGAGTGACTGGATGCTGTTGAGAAGGAATTGAGGCTTAAACTGTCTTCCATTGCGCCAAACTTTGAAGAGCTTTGTGCCAAGATGCAAGCCCACCCGTCGCATTAATATGGGTAAGTATTTGATATTATTGCTACACATATAGGCCTGTTGGGAATACTAACACATCCACTCTTTCTCTTTCTCTCTCTTGCTGCAGGCTGAGCGACTTTTGCGACTTGAAAAGTTCCGGATGGATCCTCTTTTATCGTCTTTTAATTTATTTTATGTTTGACCGCTCTTTGTTACTTAATTATGTTGTGGATCGTGTGTAGGCTAATTTTATTGTCGCACTTGAAAAGTTTCCGTTTTTATTTATTTTATCTATTTCAGAGCCTATTCTTTTTAATGTTGTGAATCGTTTGTAATTCATTGCAGTTTAATTCAGCCTGTGTTGATTTTGTTATTGTCATGCGTGTTGTGGTTATTTGCGCATGTTTAAACATGAGTCTATATGACGATAAAACAAAGTTTTGTTGCGTTTTTTTTAAAGTGTGAATTGGGGGTGCGCCAACCCGGTTGGGACATGGAAGGGGGTGCGCAGGAAAAAAAGTTTGGGAACCGCTGCATTAGAGGACATTTAGTTATCTGGACCACAAATAGCACTTCTAAAAAGACGGGAGACAAAAGATCCCCCGCGACACGCTGGTTTGCTCACCTGACCTTGTACCAAAGGTCACCACGAACACCGCCACGATCTGGTCTTTTTCCTCCCACTGGCCCCTCGACGAAAGGCCGGGGAAGAGGGCATGGCGACCCGAGCCGTGAGGCTCCGCCCGCGGGCGGCCCGGGCTTCCGTTCACGCTGCGGTCCGCAGCTGTTGCGCTGCTCTCGGGCCCGCGGGTGACGGCGGCGGCGGTGGCCGCGGTGCTCCACCCGGTGCCAGCCACGGTCACCGCGGCCGGGCGCCGCCCCGGTGGCTGCGAACTTTTCGGGGCGACCTTCTCCTCCCGCGACGGCGGCAGAGGCGGATGCTGCTGCTGTTGCTGCTGCTGGGCGGCCTGGCTCGCATCGGCCGGTGGGATCTCCTCCCAGTCCAGCAGCGGGGCTCGGTCCGACTGCTTCACCATGGTGGTGGTGGTGGTGGTGCTCCCACTGAGGGACTCGGGGAGGGAGAAAGAGAGGAAACGAACAAAACTTCGCCGTCCGGTTGAATCGACCGCACTACACGCGGTGCTGGAGTTGGATCATCGTGTCCTGCTGCTGCTCGCTGGGTTGATTTCTATGTATCTGTAAGCGTGTCACATCCACGGATGGGCTGCTTTTCCTCCGCCCGCCGACTGTTTTGATGACGTCGCTGACTTCCGCCCACGTGTCTCCATTACTATTTCATAGCGTGACCTAATTTTGGTTAAGGGCTTTTTAATTTAGTCCATAATAGATCACACGTTCACATTCTCGTGCAAACGCGGTAAAAAATAGTCTATGCAATTAACAACCATTTGAAAGTCAAGTGTGTGATTTTCAGCCAATCTGAGAGCTCGATTGCGCAACTCCCGCGGTACAGTTTATTTAAGCAGGAAGTAATTTGCATACGAGGCGCGACACTCAAGCGTGGTCTTGATGGTGAGTATTCATGATGAACACACAATATTACTCAAACTTAAATTACAATACCATCAGTGCGTCAATGGCCGATGCATGAAGCAGCTGTTGAGCTTTCACATCATGTTGTTTGGAGAATGACATTTGTTGTGGAAGTAAACATCTAATCGTATACTGGTTATGTGTAAGTCGACTGTAAAGGCAAAGTGGCCCTTTTGCACTATAAATGCAGTCAAATATCAGAATCATAATTTTTGTCTAACCCTTCCCAGTGAGCACAAGACGTAATTTCAACGTTGAAATATGGTTGAAATCGGGTTGAAATGAGGTCTGAACGTCTAAGACCTCATTTCAACGTCTTTTCAACCGGCTAAAAATGGGATAAAACATCAACGTGCCAGAAAACATCAATTTGTTGACAAATGTGTCATGATGTAACGTAAGGTTGAAAGATAGACGATATTAACGTTAAGATTTTCATAATAATTAAGGAACTGGTCGGCGAAATTTGGTCTACGCGAAGACGTAATTTCAACGTATTTAATATTTCACTTAAAACGTTATAAATATGAAACTACGGACTGCGTGCTGTTAATAAGATGCGTTTAAGACATAATAATGCGGGCAGGTTCAAACATTACTTGTAAACACGTAACTCCGCTCACATCTGTAACGCGCATGCGCGCCTGCAGAGCTCCGAGCGGACGCAGCACGAAGCGAAGTTACGGCAGCAGAGCGACATGAACGGGCTGATAGAACCACGACTACCGGCTCCACTACTCTGTAAGTACGCGAGTGTTTGGATGAAGCACACATGGAACTATAACCGGGTGTTTTACTTGTGCTGCCGACTCGATACGGGAAAGACGGCCCTTTTTGTTAAGCTAGTTAGCGTTAGCGCAGGTAGTTTGCTAGTTAGCATGCTAGCGTGCAGCATGATGACCTGGACCAAAAGTAAACATCCCAGAATATTTTTCGTGTGTTTGGTGTTACTAATGCGTTAGGTTGTTGCTGTACCCATAAATGGTATTGCATTTCACATTGAAAATACGTTTTTAAAGCAATGGGGGCTAAATACAGATTGCAAGGGTGAAGGGCTGAATTCAACAAGTTGTGGTCTGTAAACAAGAGGGACAACACATTGTAAGTTACTGCTGCTTAAAGCATGATACTGTGTAATATACCTGGAAATGTTACTCCAGAAATACCATAAGTTGCAGATGAATTGTTATCTTGTTGATAATGTAATAAGTAAACCATCTATAAATGAGGATTCTAACACACCTGCTGCTGCTGTTATTATTATTATTAGTTTATTACTGTCATCATAAACCCAAATGACCAACTTTGCCTTTGTGCTTCCCTCCTCACAGGTTTCTGCGGGTGGTGGTTGCATCTGATGGAGGTTACGTCTGATGATGGTTGTCCCTGCACTGGTCCTGCCTTACCCCTGGCTTAGTAATCCACAATATTAGAATCATTTCTGTCGTAGGAATTGGATGTACTGTACATCTTTAAATTGTTCATACTCTACACACCTTCGGCCTTGCTGTTTTCTCCTCAGGTTTCTCCCGGTTGAAGGTTTTTTACATTTTGGGGGTTTTGGGACAGGATGTTGCATGTTTACAGATTGCAAAGATGAACAAAATAAAATGATTTGAATTGAATAAACACGTTGACCAGAGAAATCTGCAATTCAGGGCTGTTCTCTGCACTCTGACTCCCTTTACACAAAGAATCCTCAAGTGAGGATGAGGGAGATGCAGCTGATTTCAGGTATACTATCCCAACTCAAGTGACTCAGATCCACATCTTGTTACAGAATCTAAAAATGAAGTTCAAATGATTCAGAAAAATGGTCTGCAAACACAGAATTGTTGTTATTGAACACAGAAATGTTGTTTCTGCACTTTTAAATCCATAGTTTATTTCCCTGAAATATATATTTTATTTTTGTATTGTTTTTAATTAGGAAAAGTGTTATATGTATAGTGTTATATTTATAATAAATGCAAATGAACAAAATAATGTGTTTGTCCTTGTTAAGGGCTGTTAACATGACAACTGTGACTAAGTATGTAACTTGTACGTTTCCAGCGAGCAATTTATCCGTTGAAACAACGTTTAAAAGACGTCTATGGCCCGACGTTGAAAAGACGTCTATGGCCCGACGTTGAAAAGACGTCTATGGCCCGACGTTGAAAAGACGTCTATGGCCCGACGTTGAAAAGAGGTTGCAAATTGGTTCAAAAGTGAAAGTTGTTTCAACGTCTATTCGTAGACGTTGAAAAGACGTTTACGTTTAGACCACATTTCAACCAGCGAGCATTTCAACGTTGAAAAGACGTTTAAAAGACGTCTATGGCCCGACGTTGAAAAGACGTCTATGGCCCGACGTTGAAAAGACGTTGCAAAATGGTTTAAAAGTGAAAGTTGTTTCAACGTCTATTCGTAGACGTTGAAAAGACGTTCACGTATAGACCCGTTTTCAACGTGATATATAATATCGGTGGTAAACTTACAAATGTGGACGTAGTTTCTTTTTAAACCTCTAAAATAATGATATAGCACACAAGAGAGGACGAAATATTACCGTATTAAAAAATCACGTTGAAATGTGGTCTAAACATAGACGTCTTTTCAACGTCTACGAATAGACGTTGAAACAACTTTCACTTTTAAACCATTTTGCAACGTGTTTTCAACGTCGGGCATAGACGTCTTTTAAACGTCTTTTCAACCAAAAAATGCTCACTGGGTCACGTCAAACTGGAGGCTGGGTAAAGCAGAGGTTAGCAACGGGACAATAATAGTTCAGCACGAACCGTCAGGACACAACAAGGAAGGCGATGCAGGACAGCGAGCTCAGGTACGTCGGGTGCACAGGTAATGCGTGTGTGTGTGTGTGTGTGTGTGTGTGTGTGTGTGTGTGTGTGTGTGTGTGTGTGTGTGTGTGTGTGTGTGAAGGGGGGGTGCGAGTGTGTAAATTACATGAAAGGGGTGGAATGGAAAAAGAGGAAGGTACCCGGTTTATGACAATATCATGCTATAAACAGTTTTTATTGTTTACTAGGGAGACAAACATGTATTTCTTAAAAAGTATTTTATTAAAGAATCACTAGATTCATCTATATGGTGTTTTTTCACGTCCGTTGTTTTTACTGTGCATGAATGCAATGCATAAATCAAGTTCTGTTCTTTTGTGAATGCGCTGAATGATAACTGCAGATAAGTCCGTAAAAAATTAAGTTTTGTTTTAAGCCAGGGGTGCGCGAGCTGCGACCAGGGGGTGCGCGAGAGGAAAAATATAATGGCGGTCAGTTTTTTTAAGTGGGATTTTTTCATTGACATATATAAAATGATTTTTCCATACAATAAAAAAGCATGACCTTTGTAATCGCTCTTATTTTAAATATAAAAACTATAATATATTATTTTTTGATAGAAACGTTCTACGCATGCTCTTCTTTCATGCACTGCAGCCGCTAGGCAATATGCGCGCCAGCTCGTTTCATTGATCGTGTAAATATGCTTAACTGGCTGAAATCAGGGAAACTGTCAAGTGGGACATCTTATAATAAAGTTATTATTCACGAAGGAGGAGAGGGACCAAGAGAGAGGGAGGATTTGGAGGCAACAGAGACAGAGAGGCTATGTCCGTTACCTTTTTGAAGGATCGGTACAAGAAGAGTTTTTGTTCTGTCGGCCCCTTGCTACCCGAATAACAGGACAGGAAATCTTCAATTTAATTGACGTTTTTATGAGGACCAATGGCATCGACTGGGAGCGCTGTGTGGGAATTTGCACAGACGGGGCAAAATCAATGACGGGGAAACACACGGGGCTCATAGCTCATATTAGGAGAGTCTGCCCATCCGTCAGCTGCAGTATTCACAGAGAGGCCCTCGCAGCCAAAAACATGCTGATCTACTTGCAGCGCTGAACGACGCAGTCAAACTGGTGAACTTCATTAAAGCTCGTCCGCTAAATTCACTAATATTCACACTGTTATGTAACGAGATGGGCAGCGAACACAAATCACTGCTGCTGCACACAGAGGTGTGTTGGCTGTCCCGCGGCAAAGTGCTGACAAGGCTCTTTGAACTCCGGCACGAATTGCAGCAGTTTTTTGAGGAGAATCCGTTTCATTTGGCCTGCATGACGAAGATTTTGGCTCGCCTATCTAGCGGACATCTTCTCAGCTCTGAATGAACTCAATCTAAGTCTGCAGGGAGTCAGTGTAACTGTGTTCAACACACAAGACAGGGTTGAGGCCATGATAAAGAAGCTACGGTTCTGGGCAAGTTGTGTGAGTGGGAACACACACCTGTGTTTCCCTACGCTTCACGAGTTCTTGGGGGAAAATGACGTGCACCTTGGTGAGCATGTAAAAACTCTCATAATTGAACACCTCAACCAACTCGCCGAGCAGCTACGGAAACACTTTCCACCTATGGACACATCTGGCGCTTGGATTCGCAATCCATTTGAAGTTTCCCTGCCCGTCCCACAGCTGTCATTACACGAGCAGGAGCAGCTGATCGAGCTGTCATCTGATGGAGCACTGCAGTCACAGTTCAAACGAAAGCCACTTGTGGATTTTTGGACCGAGTCACTGACATCATACGCAGTCTTGGCAAAGCAAGCCTTGAGAGTTTTGATGCCCTTCGCCACAACTTATCTCTGCGAGGCTGGTTTCTCTGGCAGCAGTTAAAACTAAACATCT